AGTCATCCATTTGGGGAAAGGAAACTGATGCGAGGAAATACCTTTAACTACCTACAATGAAATGCTATATTTTTCCCCAGGCTTGTTTTTATTAAAAACAATCGTGCGTTAACAGCACCAAAATTCAAAACTGCGTAAAGCGTGTTTGCGAAATTGTTTCTTGGCAACTTCCAAATATTTAGGGCTGTAAACCTCAGTAAAGATGCGTCGTAAAAGTGAATACGAACAACAATCAATCGACAACAATTTCTACCTGCTAATTTGCATTATGCGAACTATATTCCAGCATTATATTTCCGGTATATGTAATGGTATTCAAACGTTTTCTCACAAACGCCAAAATTTGGTCTGAACCGTTGCAACGAATGATGGCAATTCATTCATATTTTTCTTGAACATGACGGCATACCAGGCGCAACTGATTTTACTGGATGCTTGATACCACTGTTTTATTTTAATCAAGTCAGATTTTCATAATATTTTGGCAGTTTCGTTTTTGAATGTTTGCAAATGGTGTCCATCAATACCTTTAAGCACGCACGACTAGATCGGATAACAGCTACTGTTACAGTCACTTGGTGCAAATAGGAACTAATTCTCATTCAACCTTATTACATTTTGTTTATCAGGCCAAATGGAGAAATGTCAAAGTCAAAACAATCTGAATTCTCCTAACGTCATAGCTTTGTAAGACAGTTGTACCAAATGACGTGCAATGTGGAACCAAATTGATGAATGAACTACAAACCAAGACATCGTTCGGGCAAAATCTCCTCACTCTTGTGGCGGTTACTTCGGAATGCGGTGTACGATGAATTGAATTTATGTTCACGATTGAGTAGTGATACATTGATTCTGCATAAACACTCGAAAATGTGAAATTGTGAAATCAAAAAATGTTTTGAAATACTCATTTAACAAAAGGCATTCGGTGTACGATTTGTTTCATTTTGACGGCCTTTGATAAGCGCCAGAGAACAAGATATTGACCAAATAGAGGCCACTCAGCTTCGGAACTGCCGGGTCGGAACTCTGAAGGACGGAGGTTCAAAACCAACCGTTGTTCATTTAACTTTTTGCAATTCGAACTGAATTACAATAAAAGCAATTGGCCCTTTATCTTTTTTTGGTTGGGGTGGACGAGTTTATTAGAAAAAAATAGCTTGAAAAAGCTAATGAAACTTCGTTGAGCACAAGTTTATTGAAATTTTCGCAGATTTGAATGTGGCTTTAGCCGATTATTTACTTAAACCGAAATGTGTTTAAACGTTTACAGAGTAATGTAAACGATTAACATTAAAAAAGCTACTAGCGTCTCCAAATTAAGATGACTGTTACTATCCTCCATTGATATGATGCTAACATTACTATATCACTAATTGATGAAAAAAAAATGAAATTGTTGACGGCAGATAAAGCTGTGAAACTAATGGTGATATTTAAAACAAAATGATTGATTTTAGATTAAAAAACGTTAAAAATGACGCTTGTAAATGCCAAATTGTATCTCTTCGTAATTTTAAATTGTAATTATTAATTATGGTGCCAAAATGACAATTTTTCAAGCCTCAATCGCTTTTAAACCACTCCAATTTCATTATTTTGCTTGCAAAATTGAAATTAGACATTCGAATTGGTTCTGAAGTAAAATTGGAAGAGGCATTTCATGATTATGTAATTCGTAAAATTAGTTAACATTTTGGAGATGCTGAATGGTATCATTTGATTTGAATGCGATGTACATTCACGAGGATCACTGTTTGGTGTATTCAAATCTAACGCGGTAGCTCATAAAATAGCAATCGAAAAAATAATGTCATTTATAAATTTGATTGAGCACAGTTTAGAAGTGTTGAATTATTTGCGCAACTCTTGCATTAGAAACTGGTTTTCCACGATTCTCAAACATGTTTTTTTGGCAAAATTCTACTTGTTAAGAGCTTCTGCACTGAAGGATTTGAATCATTGTAATTTGTAATGTTGACGATTACATTAGCTTAGTGAGCTTGTTGGATAGTTCTTTTTAGCATTGAAGTATTAGTATAATGAATTACCGAAATTATTGATTGCCGAAAATAAAGCCTGTGTTTTGTTAAAATAGAGCATCATTATTATCTTGATACAGCGTAAAGTTCGCGCACGTTTCAGATGAACGTTTGTGATTTTTCAAATTGGTTGTTCACGTATTAAAACGTGTTTACTTGACACTCTTTTCGGCGTTCTCCTTAGAAGTGTGATAAGTGCTTTAGATCGTAAAGTTTATTCAGTGCTGCGTGCAATTTGCTTTTTAATGTGATTCGGTAAGTGATTCAGAAAAAAAATGCTGACAGCTGCATGGTAGTGAATGGTAACGTTTACATTTTTTTTCCGGATAGTCAATCAGAATGTTTCCTTTTTTAAAGATTGCTTTAGGCTAAGGACATGATGCAAACTTTATTTTCACTTTTGGGTGGTACAAAATTAAAAAAAAACAGTGGCGGTAGATAAAGCTGGTGAATTAATTGCGATAGTTACATTCTTTAAATCTTTGATTGACTTGAAATTTCAAGAATGTAAGATAATGTATATCTTTGTAATTCTAAATGTCAATTTGGTTTTGAACATGACTTTTCACCAAGCCTCAATTACTTTTGAACCATGCCACTTGATTAATCTTGCCAGCAAAATTGAGCTTAGTAATTTGATATGTGAATGGGTTGGTTAACTTAGTTTTGTGTGAAATGTGTGGGTGGCAGTTAATAATTATGTAATTAGTGAAATTAGTCAAATTGCAAATTGATGAAGCCGTTTGAAGGTGTAATGTGATTTGAATTCGATGTATACGCTCACGAGAAACATAGTTTGATGCACTTTATCTGGGACGGTAACTCATATAATAGCTATTGAGTGAAAATGTGTAGTGTTAATCTAATTAAGCACGTTGTCGAAGTCTGAACATTGTTGGCACTCGTTTTGCATTTGTAAAATTGTCATTGCCTTCGCGATTTAAAGATTATAGGGTTTGGCAAGAATTTCGTTTGGTATGATGTTCTATATGTGTAGTTCGGAAAATAATCAAAGCGACGTGTTTTTCGTTTTAGCTACAGAGGATATGTCATTATGACTCAACGTAGATCTTGTCACGTTTTAGGTGAAAGTTGTTGATTTGTCAAACTTTTAAAAGTCATTTATTTACAATTTACATGTTTGATAAGTGTTCAAATTTGTTAAAGTTCATTCAGGGTTGCATGTAAAAATTAGTTATTTAGTTGAGAAACGATGTTTTAACATTCATTTACTTATAACATCATCGGTGTTCTCTCTAGAAGGGTGATAAGTGTTCTAGCTTTTAAAGTTGATTCAGTAAGATGTGAAAAAAATTGTAATTCAGTTCAAAGAAGAACGTCTTATTGACAGGTATATGATATTAAATATTGATTTTATACGACTGCAGTATGGAATATGAATGGAGTACAAGTAGGATGTCGTTCGATAATGTTCAAAATGTGTTAGAAAAAGAATAGCAAAAGTGGACTCTTATTCAGGTATTCAAATATCCTAAGCATTAGTGTAGGACAAACATAACTGAATTGGCTGTAATGTCATTCTTTGATCATATGAATGGGGACGTCTCTATAGTCCGAAGTCCCATTGGTCCGAAGTCCCATTGGTCCGAAGTCCCATTGGTCCGAAGTCCCATTGGTCCGAAGTCCCATTGGTCCGACGTCCCATTGGTCCGACGTCCCATTGGTCCGACGTCCCATTGGTCCGAAGTCCCATTGGTCAGACGTCCCATTGGTCCGACGTCCCATTGGTCCGAAGTCCCATTGGTCCGACAGCCCATTGCTCTATACGTTCCATTGGTATAAACGTCCCATTTGTACGAAATACCATTGGTCCGTAAGTCCCATTGGTCCGACGCCCCATAGGATTAGGGTAAGGGTTAGGGTTAGGGTTAGGGTCAGTCAACCTGAACAAGTGGAACTACACAGTATTATGTTTCGGACCAATGGGACTTCGGACCAATGGGACTTCGGACCAATGAGACTTCGGACCAATGAGACTTCGAACCAATGGGATTTCGGACCAATGGGACTTCGGACCAATGGGACTTCGGACCAATGGGACTTCGGACTATCGAGACTCAACCCATATGAATGACCAACTGGTCTTGTTATGCCAATCCTAGGAACACAAAACCACTCCAAAGTACTGACAATATCAGCATGCTACACCTTCTGCTGTGCGTAGGTTTGTAACATTTAATGGGTATAAAGCTCAATGTTGAGACCAGGAATGAAGACTTGTTAAGTGGAAGAATAACGATGTAGCAATAAATCTTCTTGGTAAGTTTATTGTGTGCCGTGATATAACGAATCCAAATTTGAAAATTAATCAACGAATATTCGATGGCACAGCCCGTGAAATTCTTGCCTTTGATTTCTCGCCAGCAGCCTAAGAATAAGACCAAATCAATAATGCAAAGAGATATAATAATGGCTGTGTTTTGGTTGACCCAAATGCATTGTTCGAAATTGATCAAGTTAAGCTTTAATTCTATGCATCAAAGCTTGCTTTCTTGTTATAACCTTGAAGGAAACTGTTTGTAAAATAACGACAGTGATAAATAATCCACCTACTACGGTAATGGATTATGAAGAACGGTGGTTTGGAGTTGCACAATAATTGGGTCATTTTACAATGGGTTTTTCTATCAGTGAAATTCTGTCACAGATAGTAGAGAGAGTTATATCGATCAGCTTACATAGAGAACTGCGTGCCTCGTTTTAACTGTAAAAGAGGCTAAGTGTAATATCTTGTTTTTTACGTTACAGCAGATGCAGATTTTATTTTGCGAGAGAGAGATTTGGATTAAGCATTGTTCTGAGTAATGCTCTTTCAGATGCAATTTCCTGCGAAGAGACTTATATATAGTCTCAATCAACAAGCTATACCGTAAAGTAATTGTTATAAATTGCTCGTTTTTCGAGACTGGTCTTGCCAGAACTCACTCTGCCGCCATGGATGAAGCACGTTCCGTCAAGAGCTCTTCTAAACGAGGACTTCCCTTTTGTTTTGCATTCGTTTTTAGCGGGTTTATACTGAATGTATATGGAGAAACCATTTGCACTCAGCAGCCACTGTCACAAGCGTTCGTTGCTGCTGACAATCGAACACTGAAATATGCCACCATCTGGTCAGGTTCGGTTGGTAGTCGTGTCACTTGTGTCAGCAAGTGTCACTCGTTACCTGCGTGCAAATCGGTCAACTACTATCAACTCAATCGAGTATGCGATCTCAACAATGCCACAAGAATCGATTTCGCGAACAACTTGGTTGCAGACTACGCGAGCGTGTACTTCGATGGTCATGGCGACACACCTGGGTTTTCCGTTGCAGCTTACAGCGATTGCCAGAGTTTACTGGAGGCAGGTTACAGTGTGAGCGGTATCTATACGATATTCCCCGCGGGATTCGCAGATGGTCTGAGGGTTTACTGCGACATGGAGACCGACGGTGGAGGCTGGCTTGTCATTCAGAGGCGTCAGGATGGCAGTGTTGACTTCTACCGCGACTGGGCTGACTACCGCGTGGGCTTTGGGGACTTGGCTGGTGAGTTTTGGCTCGGCAACGACAACTTGCGCACCTTGAGTGATTCTTCTGGATCTTGGGATCTTCGAATCGATTTGGAGGACTGGGATGGCAACACAGCCTGGTCCCAGTACGGCGATTTCCGGATCTCAGGGCAGGATTACCTTTTGAGTTTTGGTTCGTACAATGCAACAAGTTCGGCTGGAGACTCACTGACTTACCACAATCTCCATCCGTTTTCAACAAAGGACAAGGACAATGACAATTCATGGGAGGACTGCGCAGTGTGGAAGAAAGGAGCTTGGTGGTATAACGAGTGCTCTTATTCAAACCTTAACGGTGTGTATTTGTATCCGCCTTCAAATCTTAATATTAAAGGCATCATATGGAGTTCACTGAAAGGAAATGATTACTCGCTCAAAGGAAGCAGTATGAAAATTCGGCAGTCATTGCGGTAGGCCTATGGACAAAAAATAGGCTCATGAAACTGAAAATAAGAGATTCTATGTCATGTTGTACCAATGACGATACTGTTCTCTTAATGTAAATATTGCTGGTGTGGTATTTGGCGAGAACGGCGCCAAAGAGCCGGAGTCTAACAGCAACGGAGGAACGAGACGCAAGTCAGGTTTGTTTCGGTGCATGGATCAGACTGACGTCTCGTGGCCAGCCCGCTCGAGCTGGCCACTCACGCCGTCGAGCCTGACTGACTTTATTCAATACGCATTCACTACACTGGTAGTCCAGTTGTAAAGGTGAACTCTTGTAAGTGTTTAGGTGTTATTATTGATGACACTTTAAGTTGGGGCCCACACGTTGAATACGTGAAGAAAACAGTTTCCTCTAAACTAGGTATGCTAAATAGAATCCGCGACTATGTTCCCCAAAGCAGTCTGCACTCTCTTTTTGTTAGCTTAGTTTTGCCATCTTTAGATTATTGTAATACTGTATGGGGAGGAAGGTACGCATCACACGACAATATTCTTAATACATGTTTGAAAAGAGCCGCGCGGATAATCCTGAAGTGTGCATTCTTAACGCCTTCGGCCGATATTTTCACTAGTCGTAATTGGATGTCATTTGCTGAAAGAGTAGAGTATAAAAATGCTATTCTTGTTTACAAATGTATAAACAAAATTACTCCTTTATGACAAATATGTTTACACCACTTATTCAGATTCGTCAAACGAGACAATCCACTGATATGGCATTGAGGATTCCTTTTGCAAAAAAAACAATGTTATGCCTCAAGCTTTGCTGTAACTGGTACAATCATCTGGATTAATTTACATGTGCAGTTGAGAACCATGACTTCACTAGCCTCATTCAAATCTGAACAACGAAAAACGTTCAGTCAGTAATAATATTTCTGCAAATAATTATTTGTGTATTTGCCGCTGCCTTCTCTGATAATACAAATCTAGATATTTGCTGATCTACGGAGTTAACCAACTTGGTTGCGATAAAAAGAAGATAATAAGGAGCCGGATGGGAATTTCCCCGTGTTTTCTCCCAAAAGGGTTTTCGCCCCTCCCGTAATCAGCGAATTAGTTACAACAATATTTTTTTTCTTTTCTTGATGTTACAAGATAGATCCAAATTTTTCGTGCTCACTGAATCAACTATATAGTAATGCATTCACACTGTACATGTAGTTATAATAGTTTTAAAATATATTGTATTTATAATATTTGCTTAACACCTATGCATTATTCAAATAATGTTTTATCTCACTGTATTGAATTTTATTGTATATGTAATGTATTGTATAATTATACATGTTTGTAGTCATTATTTATTGTATGCAGGGCCCCAATGGAAACCAGTTTTAAACTATTTGGGCATACACTGGGTAAAAAAATGGAATAAATAAATAAATAAATAAATGCGAACATGACCTGTGCAATATCCGATGCGCAATTTTATAATATGTACAATAATAGATCTTTTGGGAAACCCTTTACTTCTGTATTTGTTTTCTTCATCATTATCAACGATCCAAGCATCGATATTCTTACGTGAGACACAGAAAGAGGACTACTGATGAAAAGCCAACTATAAGTCAACCATTAACTGATATATCAGCCATCATCAAACACTCACACGAACACGATCATCGCATCTAATGGGACCAATCATCGCTCCGGTCGCCCTGCACTGACGCCCAAGACGCATTGTATCAGAGAAGCCATCGAAATCCACCGAAACAACACAGTCACTCATTGCAAGACATCCGATTCCACATCAACGACATCCAGCAGCATGCATCCAACAACAGCTCTTATTTGTTATGTACACGTTTTCTTATCGAGGTCGTCCTCGATTTGGTTCTTGTCTTCGATTCACCGATGATGTGGCACGTTTGTGTCTTCGATTTACACCATCAACAAACTCACATACATGTTAACGTTACATACCTAGTGTGGACATTCTTTTGATTTCTCACACTCTGAGAACTGTTTCAAACCAAATTTGTTTCTATGATTCCCTGTAGTATTTCCCTTCATTTTGTTGAGATGCCTGGGGTCCCCTATTGTCCCTCTTGTGTTTGTACTCTCACTTTTTAGGAAGACCTCCCATATGTTTTGTACACATCGCCAAATTGGGGACCTTCGGGGACCATATTATTGTCCTTTAGTGTTCAGCGTCACCTATAATGCAGAACCAAACCCACACTCATCCCGGATGCACTATTTTCTTCAATTTCATAAATTGTAAGAGGCGATTGAAATTAAGCTTCGATTAATTACGAGATGATGTATATAGTAAAAAGCAACAGCGTGTGTTCATTTTAAGCATTGACTGTAAAAAAATAAAATAATGAAATGTTGGACATTTGAAGTCGGTAAAATAGTTAGAAAATTACATAGGCCTACCAGCACCCGGAAAATGGATGGTTGATGAACATAATTATAATCGCACATTGTACAAATAATTTTGGAGAAAAAGAAAAAAATCGCAAACAGTTCTGAATTACATGCGCCGAGAAGTAAAGCCCACGTGACAACATCGAAGCAGCCAGCTATTTATTACTTTTTTTATTTTATGGTAGCTTTGAAGCAAGCCGCTATCAATGAAAGTAGTCTCCCCTCTATGTAAAAAGAAGAACACATTTCTAGTAGTGTGTATTCCGTGCTCGTAGCAAGCATGTAGGCCTATCTCATCATGTGCGTTACTGAATGCTAATTGTAGGCTGATTCTCAGTAGCGTATCCCGCACTAGGTTGAATCGTTTGCCTAGAAGAGCCATTATGACACCTGTTAAATAGTCTCCCTACACCCGTACTGCCAAATAGCAAGATAAACCATTCATTAATAATGTCATTATGGTGCCATCTCCATGTCAACTCTGTTGCCGCCAGTGCCTTTTGGAGCAGCTGCATAAAGCTACTTTAAGACTTTTCCTGAATTTCCTGTATTTAAACTCATAGATGATTGGATTAATGACTGAATTGAAATTAAACAGTAAATTAGAAAACATTTGGAAATAACGGAAGACCTTCGATCCACAGAACGAACACTGATACTTGGATGATGTCTGCACGAAGAGAAGAACAACAAAAATATTCCACTGGCCAGGTTCTGTCTAGCAATCACAAGATCATAGGCTGCTGCCCTTGCATGTTGCAGGTTCAGGGCTTTGGCTTGTCTTTTGAGAGTAACCTGCATCTTATAATAGGCCACACTCATTAATGATAGGGGGAACAAATATGCAACGAAAAATGCAAATATGCTGAGTAGAATTGAAAAAAAAGATGGGGAAGTGTCATTAAGCAATTCCTATCAGGGTGATTGCTTAGCTTGACTGTGAATAGAGGAGGTAAAGATATTAGAAATGATATCACCCACATCAAAGCAACTAAAGTAACCATAGTAACCATATCACAGCCAAATTCACCAGCAGGTAGTTTGTCATGTTGCGTAAGAATTAGATGCGTAGAATGACGTAGCACACTAAGAGGTTCCCTAAGACACCAATGACTCCTTCTGCTGCCATGATCTGACACACCCACTTACTATGAATTTCAACACCGTGAAAATATAGTTTACAATGAAGTCGCCGTGAAACTTTTTTACACTGCCAAGTAAGCTAATTTTCACGGTGCTAAACTGGGCCCCTCAGCAGGTGATAAGCTCACTGCAGTTTCACGGTGTTTTTACATGGGTCTTCTGGAGGTCCAAGGGTCTATTGTTATTCATAACTGTACAGCAGGTCCAGCTTCCCTCCACTGAAGGTGTGAAAACCACATATTAATGGTCTGAGTGATTACAGGATTTGTGTGAATGACAGCTACACTTACTACCCAATGCCCACTGCCCAAGTACACAAAAGCTACAAAGTGTCCTCCTACAAGTATCCAACACCCTGTTTATTGTGATCGCCTAATTAAGATTGACAGGCAATGTGCCTTTTTATGGGGAGGATTGGGCCCCAAAGTTGATAAACTGCTCAACGGATTAACACAACCACAAAGTTAATGAGCTGGGCTCCACAGGAGGGCTCACTGCATTTTCACAGTGTTTTCACTTGACCTTAACCTGTCCTGGTTACATGATGATTTTCAGGGCGATTTCACCGATACTTCGCAATGACATCGCCGTTAAAAAAAAACTTCACGGTGAATTCATGTCAAATTATATATTCACTCCAAATTCACGGTGTTGAAATTCAGTGTTGATCGGTTACATTCACGGTCATCATTTTGTTGATGGCTATTGATGAACCATTTGGTACGCACAGTTATTATGATGTTATTATGATGTGTGTGAAAGGAACACATTGGCATTATTTGTTTATAAAACGCTTTTATAAGTCCCCGAAAAGGTGTGTGAAGATTATTCAAATTCTTCCTCTGAAATAAACATAGTTTTCGCTGCTTAAGGTTTATGGTGTCAATGAAATCACTGGAGCTTCTGTTAGCGGGAAATTGTGTGCGCTGCAGCACTATGATAGAGGCCCTTTGAACATACTTTACGTCCTACCATTGGAGAAATTCAAATACTGCATCAGTTGAAGAAGTGATAACATTCTGGTGCCATCTCATTGTAAATTCGCATGCTTGTTGCTTGTTGGAAAAAGCTAAGGAACGCTGCCTTAAGACCAGCTGGTCTGAACTGCCTGTGTTGACCCTCCGCAGTGGGACTGGAACAAAAAAGTACTGTCTAGAAGTTTAAGAAGCCAGTGTTTGACATCAGTTTTTCATCGCTGTTTCCATGTCGCTATCAATGAAAGTAGCCTTTGGACTGCAGAAAGTAGAACACCCTTTGAGCAATGTCAATTCCATGCTTTTAGTTCGTGAGCATAGAGCTGATCATGTACAATTGTTTGCTCATTGTAGGCCACTGACACTCAGTGGAGCCTCCTGCACGGATACGCCACGGATATGCGGTTTGTTAAAAATTCAATAAAAAACTGAATTGATGGGTGTGGGAATTAATGCAATAATGCATATGACTGGATATACCTTTACCTTGGCGGATCGTTTCTCGGCACAACCTTTGCGAGTTAACTGAAGTACGTACGTGCTCTTCCGCTATGGTTAACACTTTTTTTTGCTTTGTTTACGCTGAACCTCTCCGCGTGAAATGGACGGAGGTTCCCTTAGCAAGATATTGTATATCATTACATGACAACTGTAGAATCTTCTACCTATACTGCTATTTCGGAAATATAGGCAGATAATGTATTTCTAAAAAGTAATAATGGTACCATCGCAAAGTCAACTCTGTTACCACCATGCCTTTTGAAGCAGCTGAAAAAAGCTACCTTAAAACCTTGCCTGAATTTCTTGTATTTAAACACATAGATGATGGGATTGATGATTGATTTGAAATTGAACAGTACATTACCAAGAACTCCGGTAAAGTGGTAGCCCGTCGATCAACAGAACAAGAACTGAGCCTCGTCTGTTTGATGCAAGCAGAGAAGCACAGCTATATAATCAAGTGTCCATAAGACAATGAGAGCTCCCAAGACAGTTTTAAGCATGCTGACCAGGTTCTGTCTGGCAATCACAAGATCATAGGCTACTGCCCGTGCATGTTGCAGGTTCCGGGCTTTGGCTTGTCGTTAGAGAGTGACCTGCATCTTATAATATGCAGATATAAACTCATTAATGTTAGGGGTAGCAAATATGAAGATAGAAATGCAAATATGCTGAGTAGAATTAGAGTTAACTTGGTACTTGGTAGAGTAATCCCATCGCAACCCAATTTTGCTAAACTTCAGGGATGTTGTGCAGAGGTGACGTCAACAGCCCTATTGGTAAAGATCCAAAAGTAAAAACAAAAAGAAAAATCCGTATCACTTACAAATTGTGTACCATTGACATCCCCTACAAAAATTTTCGTGCAAATCCGTCAATAAATTTTTGAGTTATCTTGTTAACAGACAAACCACCAACCAACCAACACGACGAAAACATAGTCTCCGTGGCAGAGAGGAAATAAATCAGAAATTGCTGTAGCACTCTGAATTCAATGTCAGGCTGTTACCTATACACAGTTGCCATACAATGTTTTCTGATAAATGGAGTAAAGACAAATTTGTCCCTTTTATCACCAATCACAGTATTGTTTCCGCCGTTATAGGTACGTCAGTTTGTTTTATTATTTGAAAGCAGATTGTTTCTCTGCACAACCTTGGCTTTAGTTACGGTTAACTCATTTTTGGCTGTGTTTGCTACCAAGCCCCTCTGTAAAATGGATACAGCCAGATAATGTACTTCTTAAAAGTCATTATGGTACCATCCCATTGTCAATTCTGTTACCACCCTGCCTTTTGATGCAGAAAGCTACCTTAAGGCCTTGCCTGAATTTCTTGTATTTAAACTCATAGATGATGGGATTGATGACTGAATTGAAATTAAACAGTGAATTAGCGAAAACTCTGGTATAGTGGTAGCCTGTTGATCCACAGAACAAGAACTGAGCCTTGTCCGTTTGTTGGAAGCAGAGAAGAATGGCGAAATAATCCACTGTCCATAAGACAATGAGAGCTCCCAAGACAGTTCTAAGCATGCTGACCAGGTTCTGTCTAGCTATCACAAGATCATAGGCTGCTGCCCTTGCATGTTGCAGTTTCAGGGCTTTGGCCTGTCGTTTGAGAGTGACCTGCATCTTATAATAAGCTAAACTCATTAATGTTAGGGGTAGCAAATATCCAAAGAGAAATGTGAATATGCTGAGTAGAATTGGGAATAACGGGTGTGGATATTTGATTGAGCAAATCTTATTGGGGTTATTGCTTGGTTCGATTGTGAATATAATAGGTAACGATATCAGAAATGATATCACCCACATCAGAACAATTAAAGTAACAATCCGTGCTGTTGTGAGTTTCCTTGCGTAGCGTAGAGGGTGTACTATTGCAATGTACCTCTCTAATGTAACCACACAGAGATTGTAGGCAGAAGCATAGGACAATACCCATCCTAAAAATTTGGATGATAAAAGTCGGCAGAACAAGTCTCTCACGCTGTTGCCAAATCGAGAAAAATCAATAAGCTTACAGTCTGATGTTAGATAATACAAGAATACTTGCAGACACAGCAGCATATCAGCAACAGCCAAATTCACCAGCAGGTAGTTGGTCATGTTGTGTAAGAATTTGACGCGTAGGATGACGTAGCACACTAAGAGGTTCCCTAAGACACCAATAACTCCTTCTGCTACCATGATCTGACAGACCCACTTGTGTTCATTTGGTTCCTCATTGTGTTCATCAGTTGCATTCATGGTTAGCATTTTCGTTGATGCTTAGTTATGAACAATTTAGTACGCACAGTTATTATGATGCTTTATTATTGGATTCAACAGTCTTTCAAGAAGTATTCCCTTGTAGACCTTTTCTGGCGCTCCTCCAAGGTAAACAGGCATTGATTGATTATAACATAACTTATGCTGATGGTGATTTCAATGTTCGGCCATCGCTTGCGAGATACGCTTATAGAGTTTCAGCACTGCAAAATCAAGGATTGAATCTGACGTTCCTGAATTTGGGATGAACGTGCACTTAAAAAGTAATGTGTAACGAACACATTTGAGTTTTCTCTTTTCGCGCTTTAATGAATGCCCGCTTGTGCGCGTAGAGATTACTCAATTCTTCCTCTGAACTAAACATTGTTTTCGCTGTTTAACGCTCAATGAAGTCACCGGAGTTTCTTTTGGCGGGAAATCGTGTGCACCGCAGCACTATGACAGTTGCCCCTTGCACAAGTTCTACGTCCTACCATTGCAGATAGTCAAAGACTGCTTTACTTGAAAAAGTCAGGTGCCATTTCAACGTCAACTCTGTTGCTCCATGTTTTTTTTTTATAAAACAGCTAAGGAACGCTGCCTGAAGACCTTGCCAGAACTTCTTGTGTTAGCCTTCGGCAGTGGGACTGGAACAAAACAAATGTTGTCTAGATGTTGAAGAAGCCAGTCTTTGTCATCAGTTTTTCATCGTTGTTTCAATGCCGCTATCAAAGAAAGTAGCCTTTGCTCTACAGAAAGCAGAATATCCTTTGAGCAATGTGAATTCCATGCTTGTAGTAAACATGAAGCTGAGCATGTACAATAATCATGTACAATGCATGCTCATTGTAGGCCACTGACACTCAGTGGAGTACCCTGCACGGATACGCCACGGATTGGCGTTTTAATTAAAAATTCAATAAAAAAATAGTTGATGAGTGTGGTAATTAATGTAATAATGTATATGTCTGGCTATCACTTTGCCTTACATTTTTTTTTTGATAAATGGAGTAAAGAAAATGTGCCTCTTTTATCAACAATCACATTTTCCCCAGCCTTTAACAGCATGCAGTTGTTAATAAATGAAAGCGGATCGTTTCTCGGCACAACCTTTGCGAGTTAACATGAAGTACGTACGTGCTCTTCCGCTCCGGTTAACACTTTTGTTTTGCTTTGTTTACTGCTGAACCTCTCCGCGTGAAATGAACGGAGGTTCCCTCAACAAGAGATTGTATATCATTACTTGACAACTGTAGAATCTTCTACCTATACTGCTATTTCAGAAAAAATAGCCGTATAATGTATTTCTAAAAAGTAATAATGCTATCATCTCAATGTCAACTCTGTTACCACCCTGCCTTTTGAAGCAGCTGCAGAAAGCTACCTTAAGGCCTTGCCTTGATTTATTGAATTCAAACTCATAGATGATGGGATTAATGACTGAATTGAAAATATAAAAACTCTGGTATAGTGGTAGCCCGTTGATCCACAAAACAAGAACTGAGCCTCGTCTGTCCGATGCAAGCACAGAAAAACAGCTACATTATTCAGTGTCCACAACACAATGAGAGCTCCTAAGACAGTTTTAAGCATAAGATAATAAGCTGCTGCCCTTGCATGTTGCAGGTTCAGCTGGTGCTTTGGCTTGTCGTTTGAGAGTGACCTGCATCTTATAATAGGCCAAACTCTTTAATGTTTAATGTTAGGAGCAGCAAATGTGCAAAGAGAAATGTAAATGTGCTAAGTAGAATTGGGAATGACCGACGTGGATATTTGATTGAGCAAATATGCTTAATTAACAGGGTAAGACAGAAAGGGGAGGGCAATGGATATGGAATTAGTGTGAAGGAGAGGGCGGGGGTAGTAGGGGGAAAACAGGTCAACATTGAAAGGGAAGAGAATAAATATAGTATTACTAGTGTGAATGGGGAGACACATATGGATAAGGATGAAAATGACGGGGAAGGCAAAATAGCCCCCCCAAAAAACAAGAGGTTTGGGCTGGATTAGAAACATTTTACGCTTGGAGAAAAACATAGATGCATCGTTGCCTTGTTGGATGTTGAGACCATGTGGTCAGTGGCGTAGCCAGGAATTTTTCTGTGGGGGGGGGGGGGGGGGGGGGGTGGGGGTGGGGGGGGGCGCTGGAACATTTCATGGGGGGGGGGCGTCAAGCAGGGGCGTCAATCGCTTCTCAAAAGTGGGGGGGGGGGAGAATACCTTGATCATTACTGATGCAAGTGCGAAGCGCGAAGCCCTTACGGCGTGGGGTTCGGGGCCCGCTTAAGGGCCCCGGGGAAAAAATGGATTTTAGATGTTCTGTGGTGTGATTTGAAGCAATTTCTTACGACTTTCCTCCATGCTTTAACTAATATTTTCTTGGCAAAAGATAATTATTTGAACATCGTTTTCGAGGTTGGAGACATTGAATCAGCTATCGGTTTTCTGAGCTATTGGCGTGGGGTTCGGGGCCCGCTTAAGGGCCCCGATAAAAAATGGATTTTCGATGCTCTGTGGTGTGATCTGAGGCAATTTCTTACCACTTTAACCAATAATTATCTTAGCACAAAAGATAATAATTTAAACATAATTTTCGAGGGTTTTTCAGCAGAAGGCATATTGTGAACATTGTTTTCGAGGTTGGAGTCATTGAATCAGCTACCAGAATTCTGAGCTATAGGCGTGGAGTTCGGGGCCCGCTAAAGGGCCCCGAAAATTTTTGATTCTAAATCTCTGTGGTGCTATGTGAGAAAATTTCTGACCACTTTAACCAATATTTTCTAAGCAAAAGATACATTGTAGTACATAATAGGGCCCATGGCGTCATGTAGATCAATGATAATTTTTTTAGAAACTCAAAATCTCAGTGGGGGCGACTGGGGGGGGGGGCGACAAGGTTTCATGGGGGGCGATCGCCCCCCCCCCCCACGGCCCCCCTCCCCCCGGTGGCTACGCCACTGCACAAATGGATCGGCGGCACTGAGGGATTGGCCACTAAGATCTCCCATTACTGCACAAAGGCATTGGGCGCCACCTTGGCTTCTGTCTTTCAAGGATCCTTACTCCGGAGTGGGTAGGGACTGGCCAATGGGAGTCTACAGGCTTGTGGGTTATATGTGAGGATTACATGGAAGCTTGGCCTTATTGGCCCATTGAAAAAAAAATATATGCCCATGTTTGGAAAATGTGGAGAATGAAATCACCACTTCGCTGCTCGGAGGGTGACCATAGAAACGTTGTTTAAGCGTGTTCTTTGTCTCCCCGACGCACTGTACTCCGCAAACCCTAAAAGAGATGAGATGTATAACATTAGATGTGTTGCAAGTGATGTTGTCAATAGTGCTGTGTGCCAGAAGACCTGGCCAGAAAAGGAGTCAGACGCCTAGATGTGGATCGGGCAAACCACACATCTGGAGCTGCACTATTTTAAATGTACCATGCTGGGTGAGAGGGGTTGCATCCTAGGTTGGGTCTTCGGCTCGAACAAACAAGGCTCGTAGATTTCGGGGATGCATTAAGCCGATTAGTTGGAACTTGATTTGTAGCTATACGGGAATGCGCTACATATGGAAATTCAAGTGATGAAATCATGACGTCATCACATATTCCGATGAAGTGTAGGAGATGAAAATTCAAGTGACCTCAACATGACGTTGTCACGTCATGTGACGTTACATTAAAGGTGCATTTTTCTAATGCATTAGGGCTGATGTTGGTGTAACTTGATATGTATGTAAACTGGATTGTGTATAAATAACAGTTTAAGTGACCTCAACATGACAATCACAACATACAAAACACCTTTCTAGTTATTATTAACACACTTTTTGCTCTTTATTGCCAAGCCTAACTGTGAAATGGATACAGCCAGATAATGTATTGTTTTTTAAAGTCATATGGGTGCCATCTGAACGTCAACTCTGTTACCACCCTGCCTTTTGAAACAGTTGCAGAAAGCTTCCTTAAAACCTTGCCTGAATTTCTTGTATTTAAACTCATAGATGAAGGGATTGATGACTGAATTGAAATTAAACAGTAAATTAGAAAACATTCGGAAATAACGGAAGACCTTCGATCCACAGAACGTGAACTGAGCCTCGTTTGTCCGCTGCAAGCAGAGAAGAATAGCTAAATAATCAACTGTCCATAAGACAATGAGAGCTCCTAAGACAGTTTTAAGCATGCTGACCAGGTTCTGTCTAGCAATCACAAGATTACAGGCTGCTGCCATTGCATGTTGAAGATTCAGGGCCTTTGCTTGTCTTTTGAGAGTGACCTGCATCCTATAGTAGGCCAAACTCATTACTGTGAGTGGCAGCAAATATCCAAAGAAAAATGAAAATATGCTGAGTAGAATTGGGAATAACCGGTGAGGGTATTTCATTGAGCAAATCTTCTTCTGGCCATTGCTTGGTGCGATTGTGAATAGATGAGGTAAAGACATCAGAAATGACATCATCCACATCAGAACAATTAAAGTAATCATCCGTGCTGTTGTGAGTTTCCTCGCATAGTGTAGAGGGTGTACTATGGCAATGTACCTCTCTAATGTAACCACACAGAGATTGTAGGCAGAAGCATAGGACAAAGCCCATCCTAAAAAATTGGATGCTAAAAGTCGGCAGAACAAGTCTCTCACGCCGTTGCTTACTGGAGCAAAAACAATAAGCTTACAGTGTGATGTTAGATAATACAAGAATACTTGCAGACACAGCAGCATATCAGCAACAGCCAAATTCACCAGCAGGTAGTTGGTCATGTTGTGTAGAAATTTTACGCGTATGATGACGTAGCACACCAAGAGGTTCCCTAAGACACCAATGACTCCTTCTGCTGCCATGATCTGACAGACCCACTTCTCTCCAAGTGGTTCCTCATCATGTTCATCAGTTGCATTCATGGTTAATGTTCGTGTGGATGCTAATTACGCACTGTTAATATGATGCTCTATTATTGGATTCAACAGTCTTTCAAGAAGTATTCCCTTGTAGGACTTTTCTTGCGCCCAGCGAAGGTAAATCGGCATATATCGTTCTATATTTTAAGTCCTACCATTGCAGATAGTCAAATACGGCATTACTTGAAAAAAGTCTGAATGGTGCCATCTCAAAGTGAACTCTGCTGCTGCATGCCTTTTGAAACAGCTAAGGAACACTGCATGCCTTAAGACCTTTCCGGAACCTCTTGTGTTAACCCCCCACAGAGGGAAAGAAACAAAGAAATGCTGTCGAGAAGTTGACGTTACAATATCGAGGCAGCCAGTGTTCGACATCAGTTTTTTCATCGTTGTTTCCTCACCGCTATCAATGAAAGTATACAGGCTTGGCTCTATAAAAAGCAGAACATCCTTCGAGCAACATGAATTCCGTGCTTGTAGCAAGCATGTAGCTGTTCATGTACACTAATTGTGTACATGTAGTCAAATGACGCCCAGTTGTATATCTTGTAGTCGGAGATTTATAATAGTAGCCCCAACAGTCCTAAATCCTCAAATTTTAATGCGACTTTGCACACCCCTTGGGAGTTAAAGATAAGATGATCTTTCGCGGTTGATTGAAAGCTTATATAAATAAAATAGTCACAGTTTTGCCCCGCTGTTAAACACGTCAGTTGTTAATAAATGAAAGAGGATCGTTTCCCTGCACACCCTTGGCGAGTTAACGATAGTACGCACGTGCTCCTCTACGGTTAACACACTTTTCGCTTTGTTTACTGCTGAACCTCTCTGTGAAATTCGATTGAACTCAACAGAACATTTTATTTCCATAACTTCAACAGTGTAAGAGATTTAAGGATACTCCAAAAAAAGACACTTAATAATGCTAAATGAAGAACATTAAGTTAAAAAAAATAAATATCGAAATATAGGTTTTCCCGGCCAATTTTGCAAAAAATAGCATTAGTTCATCTTGATAGTGGCCAATTAGCGCCCTGCTGTCATTCCCGTGGTTCGTATTAGATTTCAGGCGTTCAAATTCGTTTTAAGACCAGACATTTTCATGTTTAACACATCCTTAATTGAAGTTATGTCGTTCGGTTTAAGTGATCATTCCATTTAGCAGTCGGTTTGGTTTAGGGTTATCTGCATTAGATTCTTGTTTTCGTTTCCATTTCCGCGCATCCCATTTAGCACTTTTTGCATTCAAAATAAAATAAACGAAGGTATACGATGCGAGTCTTTTCATTTCTTTCACCTTTTGATTATTTCTGCTTCATGTCGTGCATGGTCCATTTTTGTGTTTCTTGCCCCTCCCTTTGGCAGGTTTTCCCGTCTGCCAGATCTCAGATACGCGGCTACAATTAACCTGCAGCCGCAGTTGATCTGTTTTTGCCAAGATTTTCTGCAAGTCCAAGATAGTCTTTGGCATTGCCATTGAAAGCTTCGATCAAATGACCACGGTCTACATTTGACATTCTCATGTAACGCCCATGAGGCCACCCATCTGAATGGCTTTCTAAACCGAACGGGATGGGTAAATTGTAATTATATATCAAACAGTAATAGGAGCAGAACAAAATAAAACCCGACAATCGCGTACGCTGAATGGTTATAACAAACCATTATTAGGGACCACTACAGATGGTGCGGTTGGGGATGCTCAGAAAAAAGGTGTTATAGTCAGTGGGCTCAATTTTGGGGGCCCGTATGCATTTTGGATACAAATCGTGGAAACTCTCATGTTTACTTATGGATACCTCAACAAGTTAAAAAAAACACGGGGTCATGACATTAAGAGGCGGGGAGGGCGATAGAACGTTTCTCCTTTTTTTTAAGATTTACAAGCTCACCGAAGTATTACAACACGAGAATTCCAGAATGTTGCCTTTTTCGGGTGGGTCTACACTTCGTTCAAGTGGAGAACAAAATGTTGTTAACAAAAAATCTAGCTGCAACGGGCAATCTTGATGTGGTTTTTTCCCCCGATCAGTTTTTAAAGGAAAGGACAGAATGTTTATTGTAAAATCATGATTTTTTTGTTCTCCTTGGTGCGTATCACAATATTTTTTTTTATGAAAAGGGGGCACATATTGCATAAATAAATATTCCTTTAGGGATTTTTTCGCCAACTGTTTCAAATGAACGCCCCGCCAACAAAACGGTTTGGGAATTCGGAAATGGGTATTTAAATCGGGCGCTTCACAGTGCAGTGCGCCACCAAGAATTTGCCATGGAAAGTCCTTTTTTTCCTTCAAGTTTGCAGTTGACAAAAATGGCCAATTGGAATGACAACTTGAGCTATATAGATTTGGGCATAGCGGTCTGCAGCCTTGCAAAAACAACATTATATGGAGATTAATGTTCGCGCTACACTCTGTCGACTAGTGGACAACTGTGAATTTCTGCGATCTCGATTTTGCCAAAAAAATAATAGTCCTCGTCCACGTACTTTTACTGACATAATATTGAAGTCATCCCGATATTTGTTACTAAAGTATACAATTTACTGATTATTCTGTTCTGCTTGAATCCTTATAAAAATAATAATGAATGATCCAGGAACTCATATGCTATATTACTTGTGCGTGTAACACATACGCAACTAAAATTCCATCTAATCTCTGGATCGAGTACGTTCGGGATTCAGTCAGAGCAAAACACAGAAAAAATATTTTGTTGACAATGTTACGCGCCAAGTATTAACCCTAAAAGGGCCGGGTTATTTTGACCATCAGCCTAAGATCTGGGCCATCGAGCGACGAAAAATTCGGTACATGCATAGAGCAACTCCTCATAAACAAACCCAAGAAATTTCAGGACTATAGGTTAAAGGGGTTTTGGAATTATGGCTAATTAATTATTCATATGTACGAATGGTTATTGTGCTCTGTGTACAAGACGTATGTGAAAGTTCAGCTTTCACGGCACCTAGATCCGGAAAAACAAGGCTAACACGAAAAAAGTTGAGGGGGGGGGGGTTGGATTCCGCCCCGGCCCTTCTAGGGTTAAACCATTACGAATACTCACTTTAAACGATGTAAAAAAATAACAAACGATCGGAAAGAATAAGCGCACGGCATTACAAGTCATAACTTCACAATTTGTACATAATGTCACAGCAATAATAATTTATGTTATTATCTGATGTGATTTAAGCACTGAACAAATGTATTTTCAAAACAGCATAAACTTCGTAAATCATGTCAGATAAATAGTAAGCAATTGGGACGATATCATCAATTCATTGCGAATTGGATTAACCAAAATTGCTTTGATGTATTGGTTTTAAAGCCCACCTAACGACAAAAAACTGCGAAATAACATTTCAAAGGTATCTATATCACTACAAAGCGTTTCTGTTCATTTGAAGTATCGTTAGGGAAATATTGGCTACATATACTTAGGTATATAATGTTATGGTACGTGACAAAGTCAAAGTAGCGCCTGCAGTTCTTTGTTTAAAATTGTTTTGTCTTAGGTTTCCCCGCTGTCAATTAAGTGTAAAAAGCAGAACATGTATTAAGCAATGTGAATTCTATGCCTATTGTAGCAAGCATTTAGCTGATCACGTACATTAAACTGTATGCTTATTGATATGTAGGCAACAGATGCTCAGTGGCGTATCCTGTAATGAGTCGACGTTAATAAGGATTTGATGATTTTGGACGGTTGATTGAAAGCGTCAATAAATCAGGAATTGATGAGTGTGGCAATGAATCAATTAAAGTACATATCTGGCTGACACCTACCTAGAAAGTTGCCATATAGTGTTTTTTTTGACAAATGAAGTAAATACAAATTTATTCCTTTTCCCACCAGTCATGGTATTTTGTTCCTACATTAATCACGTCACTTGTTATTAAACGAACGTTTCTCTGAATAGACTTGGCGAATTAACGCTACGCTTTGTTTACTGCTTAACCTTTCCGTCAATTTGGGCGATTTACAATACAGTGTGCCACCAAGAGTTTGCCACGGAGAGTAAAGTTTTCCAGTTTACGGTCGACAAAACATGGCCCACTTGAAATAATTTGTTTCAGAAAGGGCCAAAGCGTTCCGTCGCCTTACAAAACACCACCTTATTATAAAGAAAAGACAAGGGCAAACATAATACTGGAATCGAACTCTTACGAAACTACTGACTGGACAAAACTAACAATTTCAATTGTCCCGCGCTGCCAATTTGTCGACCATCTCCCACAATGCCCTGGGAAAATGAACTCTCCCTGGCAAACTGTTGGTGGCGCACTGCATTGTGAATCGTGCGCCCGTATTGGACGGAGGTGATGGTAGGCAAGAAATTGTTTTCCTAGAAATACCGTGATATGACATGTGTTAAATGTTCTCACCATCACGACGACACATAGACCCATATTTCGAAACCTCCACTGGTTACCTGTCAGTAAGCGCGTCATCTTCAAAACTCTACTCTTTACTGATAAATGCATCGACGGTTCGTCACCATCATACCTTCGCGACCTCATTGAACCCTATCAACCACCGCGCACCCTGCGCTCTGGCTAAGCACTGTTGCTGAAGACTCCCGCCATTCACACCAAAACGTATGGACAACGGTCCTTTACACACTCATCCGCTGATCTCTGTAAATCTCTCCCACAACACATCAAGACTGCAAGAACTGAAACTGAGTTCGAAACTGCACTTAATTTTAACCCTGCGCAGCGTTTACAAATATTTTTTTACAACAACTCGTCAACGGCGGCCCTCTGGGCAGCAGGTACTTTCCCGCACTACGCAAGACCCTATTCATAGCAATACAACAAAAATCCACGTGCCAGACAGTGTCCATACAGTTGTCAGACAGTGCGCTGGAAAGATAACTGACTGGCGGATGTGGTATGCAGTTATGAAGGGAGATGGCTGTGTCAAGTTACAGGTCTTTGTTGATGTTTCAATGAGACTTGGCAGAAGGCCTGGTCGAAAGTGTGTTGACACGGCCT